GTTTGGAGTGCCTGTACCTGGATGTTGGATACTTACCTAAAGGAGATGGTTTGGAGTGCCTGTACCTTGAGGTTGGGTACTTACCTGAAGGAGATCTTTTTGAGTGCCTGTACCTGGATGTTGGGTAATTACCTAAAGGAGATGGTTTTGAGTGCTGTACCTGGAGGTTGGGTACTTACCTATAGGAGATGGTTTTCAGTTCCTGGGAGCACTTGTATAAAACATCTCAAAGTTAAGGAAAATCTCAAGCAATGTATTGTCTATGGGAAATCTTAGACTTGAGAAAATCTCAAGAGTTTAGATATTTTAAACAAGTGGGCCCTGTACCTGGAGGTTGGTTACTTACCTAAAGGAGATGGTTTTGAGTGCCCTCTCAGCCACAGCACGTGCCTTGTCAATCTCTGCTGTCTGCAGGTGGAAAGCCATATACTGGAGCCACACCAGAGAGCTGTCTGGGGAGGTCAGAACCAGACGGTCAAATTCGTCCACTGACACTGGCTGGTTGTCTCCCTCTAGTTGACGTTTCTCAAACTAAAATATAGGTTTGCTTTAATAGAAGAGATAAAACTTTTGATTTCTTAATGAAAATAAGCAAAGATTTTATACGTCATATTTTATACTTGACTAAACCAGATATTACCTCTTAAATTCTTTACTTATCTTCCTATAACAAGAGATCCCAGAGGGATCTTGGCGCCCACATTTGCACAATCTTCATTAGTTCTTTGTCAGTTCGACCTTTTCTTTTCTTTCCTCTAATCTGTTTGATCGAGTCATCTTAACAGTAAATGCACCTTGAGGTAACTTTTGATCTAAACTTAATACTGATGTGTATGAAAGCCAACCTTCAAAATGAGTTTGTCATTTCACATATTTACTAGTACAGTACTTAATGTGAAAGAAATAGAATCGAACATTGCAATATGAGAAAGATCTGTTTAGTTCTTCTTTTAATCCATTTTGATTTTATGATCAGTCTCAAAATATAACATGCACAACGAGGGATCAAGGGGAACCTACATATAAAATTTAAGAAAGATCCCTCTGGTACTTCTTGAGAAATAGCGATAACAAACTTTCACTATCAAAATCAAAGATGCCTGTCGGCCATGTTGTTTATCCGATCAGTCTCAAAAGTTGCCCTGCACAGCTAAGGACGAGGGGAACCTACAGATAAAATTTGAGAAGGATCCCTTTGGTACTTCTTGAGAAATAGTGATAACAAACTTTCACTATCAAAATCCAAGATGGCTGCCTGTTGGCCATGTTGTTAATCCGATCAGTCTCAAAAATTGCCCTGCAAAGCTAAGGACCAAGGGGAACCTACATATAAAATTTGAGAAAGATCTCTCTGGTACTTCTTGAGAAATACCGATAACAAGAATTGTTTAAGGACAGATGACGACCGGACAACGGACCACGGACGCAGGGTGATTTGAATAGCCTACCATCAGATGATGGTGGGCTAAAAAGCTTATACAAGCATAATTGCTTGTCTCACTTTACTCAACAAGAAATATTCTCCTGGATCAAGCTTCTGTCACAGTATTTACCTCATCTAGCCTCTTTTCTTCTTCTTTCTTCTCAGCACGAATTTGAGCTTTTGTTTTCTTTGTTGGTCTCTGAAATGACACATAAATTTTCAACAACTGCAAGGAATTAATCATTATTAATGCATTGAAATACATGTAAGTATAGGTGTTTTGTATTTCTGTCCTAACCTAAGGCACTGGACACTGAAAGGAGTACGATTCGATAGCTAGGACACTGGTGCCAAACCTGGACAATAAAGGGAGACACGGTTATTAGCTCGGGTACTAGCAGAACATTTAGACATTTAAGGGACACTTGTGAAACACCTAGATCCTTCTCCTTTATCTAGATTAAATTTTCCAGGTGGCACAGAAATAATTCATTATATACAAAATCACTCAGGACTAGAAATAGACGTGCCTATATAGACAGTGCTTAAACCTCAATAAGGTTGGGGTTTTTTTGCAAAAGAAATAGCAATAAACCCAGAACTTTATGAGAACCTTTCTCTTTCTGCTGTATACTCATTTTAATTTTCCTAAATGAAATGTAAATCGAACTTGTTTTATGTTAGAAATACTGTAAATTGGGAAATCTTTACTGTGGTTATATTTTTGTGTATTTTGTGCAAGACTAAAATTCGCAAACAATTAACATGTAAAAATTCAGCAGCTTAGTTTCATGAGTTAGACACCTAGATATTGATGGAACTTGAGTCATGAGTTAGACACTTAGATATTGATGGAATTTGAGTCATGAGTTAGATACTTGGACAATGATTTAACATTGAGTAATACATTGAATACTTGTAAATTGATAGAACATTGAATCATGAGTTAGACACATGGACATTGAGTCATGAGTAAGACACTTGGACATTGATGGACATTTAGTCACGAGTAAGACACTTAGACATTGAGTTATGAGTAAGACACTTGGATATTGATGGATCACTGAGTCATGAGGTAGACACTGAGACTTTGATAAATCACTGAGTCATGAGTTAGACACTTTGACATTGAGTTATGAGTAAGACACTTGTACATTGATGGAACACAGTCATGAGCTAGACAGTTGGACATTGTTGGAAGATTAAGTCATGAGTTAGACACTTGTACATTGATGAAACATAAGACAGTTGGACATTGTTGGAACATTGAGTCATTAGTTAAGAAACGTGTACATTGATGGAACACAGTCATGAGCTAGACAGTTGGATATTGATGGAACACTGAATGATGAGCTAGACACTTGGATATTGTTGGAACATTGAGTCATAAGGTAGAAACTTGGCTACTGAGTCATGAGTTAGACAATTGGACATTAATGGAACACTGAGTCATGAGTTAGACACTTGGACATTGATGGAACACTGAGTCATGAGTAAGACACTTAGACAATGATGAATCACTGAGTCATGAGTTAGACAATTGGACAATGATGGAACACTGAGTCATGAGTTAGACACTTGGAAATTGATGGAACACTGAGTCATGAGTAAGACACTTACACATTGATGGAACACTGAGTCATGAGTTAGACACTTAGACATTGATGAATCACTGAGTCATGAGTTAGACAATTGGACATTGATGGAACACTGAGTCATGAGTAAGACACTTAGACATTGATGGAACACTGAGTCATGAGTTAGTCACTTAGACATTGATGAATCACTGAGTCATGAGTTAGACAATTGGACAATGATGGAACACTGAGTCATGAGTCAGACACTTGAATATTGATGGAACACTGAGTCCTGATCTAGAACACGATTTACCTGGACCTCCTCATCACTATCATCATCATCACTGTCCACTTCTGTAGTTGATGTATCTCTCGCAAGGTCTGCGTCCCAGGAAAATCCTGTTACGGAGAGACGTGGCTTTTCACTAACCCCACAGACAGGAGGTGAGGCTAAGATCTGTCAATCATAGAGAAGTTGTAAAATACTTGAACACACCAAAACACACTCGCAAAAACATTTTGCATAAACATCCATATTTGTTTTAGTCATGTCTGCTTGTGATTCAGATGATGAAAGTCTTTAAAAAGCTGTAACATCCACAATACTTAAGTTGTTATAAATATTCTGTATGCATGCTACAGATTCCTTACATAGGAACTGCTAATAGGAAGGTGACAAGCAATCATAAGTACTGAGGAACTGAGAATATAGGAATACCTTCACTTCATCCTCTTCTTGCTCCTCTCTACTTTGACTTAATTTCGTCATGGATTTTTTCTTTTTCTTTCCCTTAGATTTCTTTGTTACTGTTTCTTCTGATGATTCCTGTGATGAGTTCTCTCCCTTTGTATTGTTTGCGTCAGTCACTGAAAGCTTTCTCTTACGACTTTTAACATGGGTTTCCTCTGTCTGGCTGTCTGAACCCAAGATCTCCTTCTCTGTCCTCATGTCCACTGGCACCAGGTCTGTTACACCGGTACGACTTTCTCTCAGAGTAAGTGTTACATCACCATCCACACTGGAACACACATTATTGTAACAAGTGACTCTGCTTTATCCAAATTGGAAACATATGGTGTATATAGGACATTTAAAATATTGATGGGTAAGAACAGTTAAATGAAGATTGAAGTTACTCCTCCAAACCAGGTCAATAGCATGTAGCTAGGGGTCAATGGAGCACAGTTTTATGTATGGTACAATAAGCTACAATACTCACAGCAAGAAAATCCCACCACACTGGTCAGTTGATTTGTATTGGAGATTTTCTATTTCGTGCATTCACGACTTTTCATTTGATGCATTCATGAAGTTTCTCTGAGTAAATTCTATATTTTTGATATGTAATAACCAGTGAAATCAGATCCAGGATTCTTATGCAATGATAGATCACTGGGGAAAACTTAAGGAAATGGTCATCAACAAGCCATTGATAATACTGCCACATTAGAACACTTGTAGGAGGCCCTTCTACAAGGCACCAGAGTAATAACTCACCGCAGAGAACCATTTAGAGACAAAATTATTCCTTTGCAGAGAAATTCTATCTTATTATAAGAAATTAGGAAGACATACCTGAGGATCTGTGCTGTGACCACTCGTCCTTTGTAAAACACTACCCCACAGGATTTCACATGGTAGTCTGACAATTCCTCTCTACTCACTTTTCCATATACTCCATTTCCTATGCTGAACACACAGAAAGGAACATTGAATCACAATATTTCTTACTCAGTGTGTGTTTTTGTTATCTAAATCTTACAACAGCCTGCTCTTTTATGAATTGGGAAAAATATAGCATTATTTGTATTGAAATTGGGAATATATTTCTCATTTTTGGGGGAATATATTAAAGGCACTTTTTAAGTAGAGGAAATAGCCTGTATTTGGCGGTAAAACTGCTGTTACTGAGCAGAATTAAAAAAAAAAAAAATATGATACTATATGCAAATCTAATATTATTATACCTCTAGTGAAAATCCTGTCATCTGATTGGTTGTGACAAGTTGTTCATTTCACACTGCCACATTCAGTGTAGCATTGAGTCAATGGAAGGGTACTTCCAAACACCCTAGCAATGCGCTAATGTATATTACTCGTCAGTAATTAGTACTACGATGTAATGCCGAGATGAGTGAATGTAGTATTTATATAATGTTCAATGTATAAAGAATATGTTTTATTAGAACTAATTGTGCCATTTTGAAGAATACATCTTTTCCATTTCATAATACATGTATATGTTTTGACCATTACAATTTGATTTCAATCAGTACAAATGACAAAGTATTCGCTATAAAGTAAAGGTATTTTACAGTATTTAACTCCATATCTGAACTAAGGTACAGGTAATCAAATGTTGACAGGTCAGACTGTTGGGCATATCCATCTATAAAGCCAACTGCATGACCACATCGCCAGGAGACTGTTAGGGAAAATTGTCTATAAAACCAACTGACCACACAGTCAAGAGACTGTTGTTGAAGCCCATTGTGTAGCCGCGGAGAATCTGTTTCTTGGAGAGCTCTTGGACATCCTTTACTTCTGGGTCTTTCACCTTGCTTGTCTTTTTAGTGTCCCTAAATAAAGTTATAATAAAGTTGTGTATATCCATTTTCACTATTATGGTCAATGATCAATGCAATAAGAGGTCATGTAGTAAGAATTAAACTCATTCTCATTTGTAGTAGTTTATTATAATTCTAGTACCACCTTACCACTTTTATGATATTATGATCGTACATTGATGTGTATGCAGATAACCAGAAACTCAAAAAAATTTCTGGAAACATTTAATTCAGGAAGATATGTAAAACATGGTAATTAAACCAGGCAATTATACTTGAAATATAATTAGCGTGCATTATGTTGTTTGCTTGCAAAGCTGTGTCATTCAAATAGATCATAAATACCATACAAAAACAGTTCAATACTTATATTTACGTTTTCTCTGCCTCTTATGTTCTTTTTTAACTTATAATTTATATTCAAAATTAAAATGCCCACCTTATCGACAGTCCACACAATATCGTTCAATAGTTTGAACAGCGTATTGTCACGTGCGGATTGGCAAACAAAGTAGTACTTTGAAATTTTAACAAACACTTCAATTTTATTCCACAATTCAGTATCAATACAATTGCGTATGCTCATTGTGTGAAGAATCCAGGCGTGAATGTATTCGTTGATTGTATGGAAACCTGACAACAGTCGGTAGATTCTATAACATCCTCATTATTACACATGCCGTCAGAAACTGAGGAATGGTGGATGCCAGACGCGTGCAACTGATAGCGTTTGAAGTGAGTGATCTTGCGACGGAGCACAGGTTTGTTACAAATGTCTGAAATGTTTATGTGTGATGTGACTCATATCAGTAGGTCTGTAACATATGTGTCAGTAGGTCTATAGAATTTGTGTATTTCAGACATTTGTAGCGAACCCCTGTTGATCAGTGCAGTGTAACAGACGATATTTCTGATAAATTGCATGAGCGTTAAAACTGTTTCCATTGCCGGCATTGGTGATTTCAACCGATGTGCATTTTGTACGACATTGCAGACATTGGTCTTGTTTTCGTTGTAATAAAAGTTTTTTAATTTTAGTTTTTATTTTGCACATAAATTTACAATGGTATTGTCAAATCTCACAATGCCCAGTGATATTTCAGCAGCCGTCATGTTTATTTATATTGGATATTGTAGTTCTGGTCAGTGTTGTATTAGTACGCTAAGAACTGTGTCTCTACTGCTGACTGCACTAAACTGACCAAAGAATTAAGGAAACTGTTCAAAAGTTTTTAGTGCAACACTTCTCCAATGTATGGCACCCTAGTTGTTAAACGTGAAGGAATATTGATAGGAAAGACGTAGAATAATACACATAAACAACCGTGGTTCACTGCAGCCTCCCTGGATGAAGGGGGCTGCTACCCATTTAAGAGACCCCTATATATAGGGGACAATATACTGCTCTGTGATTGGTCAATTTCTCATCTACTAATTACCATACCTTCATTAACATATATAACCATACAGCCCATGCAATGATCATGACTGAATAGGGAAACGTCATGAGTTGGACATAAACTATACAAAACAACTTATATTATTATAACAGCTAAAACAAAAGAGGAGCTGGCTCCATCATTGTATATAAACTATAATTTAATATATTAAATATCAAATTATCATTTTTACACATTCCAAGTTCATACTCATTTTCGATCTAAAGGTCAGTATTCTTCCCTTGCTCAAATTTCACATTTTTACTTATACAGCTGTATTTGAAAATTAGATGCATTGGATTTTATTTTTTGGGGAATTTAAAGAAAGGAAAATTTAGGGGTTGTGTATAAATATAATCACTTATAACGCAGTTTCTGTATGTGCTACTTTTAAGTAAAATAGGTGCATTTACCGCAAATAGTGCAAAAGTTAGAGTAACATTGACCTTGATCATCATGACAGTACATGCAGGTAAATTACATTCAAGATCTATTTCTACTTCCGTATGATAGTGGTCTCTGACCAAATGGAAACTCATATCTTATCTTCTATAGGATTATTTATCATAATGCTGACATACTTAATAAGTATAACTGACATATTATTATGTCACCTACTTAAGTCTCGACTTCCGGAGTGACACCCGGCACTGCTTGGTCTTTTCATCAATAGACAGGATGCAGCAGTGCACAACCTGGCCACGCTTGTAGCTGCGGAGCGGGTTGTCCGTGTATATATCAGACAGGTCAGTACATGAGGCCACACCCTTGTATCCTTGTGACAGGTCGAGCTGAAGCTCCAGGGAAAAGGTGGTACAAAGCACAATACCTTGTACCCTTCTCCCCTCTTCTATCTTCCCCTGGTCTGTAAAATAAAATGATACAAAATTCATACTTTAATAAAAACAATATCTTTCCAGCTGCTCTTTATTTGTCATTTTACATGAACAACATTAAATTGATGCAGACAATTGATAGGCTATCCAGGTATAATCAATATCTAAACTATTACAGTACAATAACTGTATCACAAGAATCAGTGTAGAGGAACAACACAAGTAGCCCAAAACCTGGCAGTCAAACCTGCACAATTACCAAGCACTATAAAATGTTTTTATTTATTCAACTTTTATTTTTAGAGACTGACATTTTTAGAAGCTGTAAGGTAACACACCTGTGAAGGAGAGATCGAGTATGTTACTGTCGTCCACACCTATCACCCTGGCATTGTAGGCCTGGCCCCGTAGGAAGTGTGCCTTTGGGTTCTCCTGCACCTGTAGAACCACACACATACCAACATAAATACAGAGCAGGAAGGTTTGGCTTAATGTAGACGAGACAACAGCAAAGTGAACTAGGAGCATAATAACATAAGCTCATAGCATCATGGACAGTATGATAGTGAATAGTTGAGACAACTTTGCTGAAAAAGATAATGCCAGTATAAGGTCAAGAGAATCAAATTTCAAACGACAAAGATAAAACAAGATGAAGAAAATGGTACTATCACTGATTTTACTTACCAGATTCTGTTGAATCTTTTTGTTTATCTTCACTTATTTCTTGGAAATGAGTTTTTTAAGGTAAAATAAGTGAACAGTATCTAATTTATTTATATCTAATAACAAATCTACAACAAGAGGCCCAGAGTGCCAGTATCGCACACCTGTATATTTAAGCAATCATGGCTGAAGATTTTCAATGAAAGTAGTATACATGGCTAATAAAATCTTACAGATATGGCCAGTCCCCAGGGAAGTAAATGGATGCACAATATCAGGTGGTAGTTATCATATCTGAAAACTTTCGATGAAATTTGCCCTGTTGCTTTGGAGGAGTTGTCCGGACAAGGCTCAAAATGAAAAAATAATACCTGGATGCACAACTTCAGGTTGTAGTTATCATGTCTGGTAACTCTCTTTGAAATTGATCCATAACTTTAGAAGGAGTTGTCCGGACAAAAAGTTTCAGGATTTGTTCAACAAAGGGGCATAACTTCGTAAAAAAGGGTCAGAATGAAAAACAAGAGGCCCAAGGGCCTTAACGGTCACCTGAGTCCTTCAGTATTTATTTTTGTTGTTGAAATATGTACCAATTTGAGTAAAAAATAGTTCAGTATAATGTTAACTTAACTTTGTCAGGACCATGAGCTGATAATTCCTAGACCGATTTTCAGTGAGATCGGCCTATTAGAACCTGTTTTTAAGTTTGAAATAAGTATTTACAAAATAGCGGCCATGGCAGCCAAATTGTATTTCTGATTGACCCGAAAAATAACAACACTTTGTCAGGACCATGATTGATCATTCCTACAAAGTTTCAGTTCAATCGGCCAAGTAGAACTTGGCTGTAAGTTTGAAATAGTTTTTCAAAATGGCAGCTGTGGTGGCCATATTGGATTACTGATCGACCCGAAAGATGATAACACTTTGTCAGGACCATGAGTCGAGCAATCCTACAAAGTTTCAGTTCAATCGGCCAAGCAGAACTTGACTTTAAGTTTGAAATAGTTTTTCAAAATGGCGGCCATGGTGGCCATATTGGATTTCTGATTGACCCGAAAAATAACAACACTTTGTCAGGACCATGAGTCGAGCATTCCTACCAACTTTCAGTTCAATCGGCCTAGCAGAACTTGACTTTAAGTTTGAAATAGTTTTTCAAAATGGCGGCCGTAACGGCAATATTGGATTTCTGATCGACCCGGAAAATAACAACACTTTGTCAGGACCATGAGTCGATCATTCCTACTAACTTTCAGTTCAATCGGCCCAGCTTTAAGTTTGAAATGTAAAATGTTAACGGACGACGGACGACGACAGACGATGGCGGACGAAGATGGATGGCAATAGGTCACTTGAGCTAAAGCTCAGGTGACCTAAAAATAACTGGATGCACAACTTCAGGTGGTAGTTATCATATCTGAAGGTTTAGTTGAAATTGGTTCGTTACTTTAGAAGGAGTCGTCCGAACAAACTTTTTCTATGGACAGACGTACATACGGACAAGCTGATTCCAATATACCCCGCCTAAATTTGTGGAGGGTATAAAAAGCATTTTTAGCTTGGAAATGATTAAGATCCCCACCTTTTACCATATCTTCAATTGCTGATTATAAAGAGAAAAATATGTAGTGTAATCAGACACAGAACCAACACATGCAAATGGCGGGCACTGACTAAAATGAGTACCAAGTACAAAAGAGTTCCAGTCTTACATTGCAAGGGTGATTTGTAATAGTTTATACTATGCCTGGCTGAGTTATCACCCTTGATTCTGGGCCTATTTTGGTAGCGTATTTTGTAATAGTTTATGACCGGATGTCAAGATTACTCAACCAGTCATAAACTATTACAAAATACACTACCAGAGTAGGCCCAGAATCAAGGGTGATAACTCAGCCAGTCATAGTATAAACTATTACAAAATACACTACCAGAGTAGGCCAAGAATCTTGCCCCATTCATGAAGTAATACCTTTTATAAAGTCAAGAACCCACATCCCATGGGCATATATTATACAATTGTTAGGCACAGAGCGATAGACGCAATAATATTTGAATTGACCTCCTCTATTTTTCAAATGTTGAACCCCTTCCACCTGAGAATACTTACAAACAAATATGGTTAAATTATCAAAGCAATATGGCCAAATTATCCCTCTTTAGCTACCTCCTTCAGGCCCCTGTGGGTCAGACCCTCTATTTGAACAATCTTGAATCCCCGATACCTGGAAATGCTTCCAGCCAAATATGGTTGATACCCATGTCGTAGTTCCAGAGAAAAAGTTGCTTAAAACAATATTACCAATCAATTACCCATTTCCCCCACTCCTCAGCCTGCCGCAGTGTCAGCCCCTCCATTTGTACAGTGGTGAATCCTCACCGTCTGACACCAAATAGGATGAATATACTTCCCTTAGTTCCAGAGTGAAAGTCAATTGAATAAATATGGCTAAATTAACCCTTTTTGGCACCACCCCTCAGTCCCCTGGAAGGTGAGCCCATTGATATGTATAATTTAAAATCACAACTACCTAAGAATGCTTTCAACGCAATTAGGTTGATATTCTTCTTTTAGTTCCAGAGAAGAAGTCGCTTAAAGCCATATGGTCAAATTAACCCCTCTTGGCTCTGCCCCCTAACCTTTACAGGGGGTCAATTTTGAATCCCTACAACCGAAGGATGCTTCTATACAATTTTAATTTAATTCCAAACAGCAGTTACGAAGAAGAAATTATTTGAAGAAATTGGTGATGGAAGGACAACAGATGCCACATTATGGCATATGCTCACAATGATCAGGTGAGCTAACAAGTATGCATTTTTCGTTGTCATTGTCTTACCTACAATAAGAAACAATAGGACAAGTAATGAAGGAGTTCCAGTGTAATCACTTACTGCCGGATCATCAGACAAGTTGACAAGGTTCACTCGGCCTTGGACAGTAGAACTCACACAGACATTCAGGTTACCATTGTTATACTGAAACATTGAAAGCAGCACACAGACATTGTTAGGTTACCATTGTTATACTTATGTTCTCGTTCGCACTTCTCAAACGAACATAAATTATTTATCATACAAACTCAAACTCATTACTGGGAGTTTGTCCACCTAGCTAAACGAGGACGAAACATTGAAAGGAGCACAAACATTCAGGTAACCATTGTTATACTGAAACAGGCAGAAGCAGCCGGACACCATCACAAAGTAAACAGGCACTTTGTGTCTGGCATTAAAATGTACAACAAAGTTTATAACTGTATACTGATCTTACAATCTTTTAATTATCATCGGAACAAGAAGCATAGAGGGCCTCACCAGATTATTTAAGTAGTTGTAGTAAAATATTCTCTTTAAATATTAAACCGTACTACAAATATTTTACTTGCAAACTTTGAAGCTAACAGCCAAATATCCTTTAATGATTTTATGTTTATTTATTCTTCTTCAGAATTTGTTTGAAGTGTTTGACATAGTTTTCCCTGTGACCTTGTTAGTAGGTCAAGGTCATTTTCATTCTCAAACTTTGTTGGGCCCTATCCCAAGAAGCTACCTGCCAAATCTTAGGAATCTATGCCTTTTGGTTCTGCAGAACAAAACTGATGAAATGTTGTTGACCTCTGTGACCTTTAAAGTAGGATGAGGTAATTTATATTTTCAAACTTTGGTGAGCTACATTCCAAGAAGCCACAAGCCAAATATTATGATTATATGCCTGAAGAGGTCAAGGTCATTTGATTCGCGGAATTTTTGTTCTTAATCCAAAGAATTTATCAGCCAAATATAATAATTATATACCTTTCAGTTCTTTCGAAGAAACTGTTTGAAGTGTTTAACATATTTGACCCCTGTGACCTTGAAAGTAGGCTGAGGTCATTTTCATTCTCAAACTCTGTTGGGCTCTTTCCCAAGAAATTTCCAGCCAAATATGAAGATTTTATACCTTTCAGTTCTTCATAAGGAAACGTTTGAAGTGTTTGACATATTAGACCCATGTGACCTTAAAAGTAGGTTGAAGTCATTTTCATTCTCAAACTTTGTCAGGCTTTATCCCAGGAAGCTACAATCTAAACATTATAACTCTATGCTTTAAGATTATTCAGAAGAAGTCCTTTTAAAGCGTTTGACATATTTGATGCCAGTGACCTTGAAAGTAAGTCAAGGTCATTTTCATTCTCAAACCTGGTCAGGCTCTATCCAAGACAGCAATCAGCCAAATATGAAGATTCTATATCTTTCAGTTCTTTAGAAGAAGTCGTTTAAAGTGTTGGACACATTTGACCCCTCTGACCTTGAAAGTAGGTCAAGGTCATTTTCGTTCTCAAACTTTGCCAGGCTCCTAGCAGCAAAGCTTTCAGGCAAACATCATGAGTATAGGCCTGTCCATTCTTCAGAAGAATTTGTTTAAAAGAAAAAATTGATGGAAGATCGACGGACGACGGACATACGGACGACGGACGGTTGACAGTTGCTACGCCATGACATAATCTCACTTGCCCTTCAGGCAGATGAGTTAAAAATGAGCAGGCACTTTGTTAATACACTTCATTGTGGAAAACAACAGCTTGTTTATCATAAGACCCTGATATATAATCTAGTGATTACTAAACATTTGACATAATATGACTTACGTTCTGTACAAAGGCTTGGACTTGGTCTCCTATATTGTAGGTACAGTTCACATCCTCTGTCCCATCAACTCCCTTCTTCTCCAGCTTACTGTCAACAGTTTAATTGGGTAAATGCATAAGAATCAACTTATCACATAAAGATTTGTATTACACCAGATTAAAACATGATTTGTTTTAATTAATTTGAATATCTTATGATCCATTTGACAAAAACAGGACAGAAGACCAGTTTCTAAAACCACCTCATTTTTCTGGACAATATATATTCGATTTGTGGATGCAATTTGAAAGTTCATTCATGGATTCAGTTCATATTATAAGTAATGATCAAGACAGTTCCAACATAAATACAACTAAATTGTTATGTCTCAAGTTCAATCCATCATAACCATGAGGTCATTGTTATTTCCTCAAGACCTCCAAAACATTAACATTGACTGATTTGTTAGTCAAGATGTCCACAACATTAACATTGACTGATTTGACAGTCAAGATGTCCCCAACATTAACAGGACTGATGTGTTAGTCAAGATGTCACCAACTTTAACATTGACTGATTTGTTAGTCAAGATGTCCCCAACTTAAACCGGACTGATTTGTTAGTCAAGATGTCACCAACATTAACAGGACTGATGTGTTAGTCAAGATGTCCCCAACATTAACAGGACTGATTTGTTAGTCAAGATGTCACCAACTTTAACAGGACTGATTTGTTAGTCAAGATGTCACCAACATTAACATTGACTGATTTGTTAGTCAAGATGTCCCCAACTTAAACCGGACTGATTTGTTAGTCAAGATGTCACCAACATTAACAGGACTGATGTGTTAGTCAAGATGTCCCCAACATTAACAGGACTGATTTGTTAGTCAAGATGTCACCAACATTAACAGGACTGATGTGTTAGTCAAGATGTCACCAACATTAACAGGACTGATGTGCAAGTCAAGATGTCCCCAACTTTAACAGGACTGATTTGTTAGTCAAGATGTCCCCAACATTAACATTGACTGATGTGTTAGTCAAGATGTCCCCAACATTAACAGGACTAATTTGTTAGTCAAGATGTCCCCAACATTAACATTGACTAATTTGTTAGTCAAGATTTCCCCAACTTTAACATTGACTGATTTGTTAGTCAAGATTTCCCCAACTTTAACATTGACTGATATCTAATGTTCTCAATGTCCTCAACATTAACATCTGCTCTATAAGGTTTCACTGCATTTTAAAATTTTGAAAATATGTTTAGAATTTCAGTGTCTGTTTAGCAATGATGTGGTATAGGGAGGGGTCTGTACCTTGGTTTGAGTGAACACTCCAGCAGGGCAGTTCTACGGTTAGGGTGACTGATTGGCAGGAAACTGTTACAAACAAATCACTTGTCAGGAATTAAAGCACACACATACAAATATCTACCAAGTCTTTTGATATCATCCATTAAATTGATGACACTTTGTCATAATTAAATCAATGACTTATAAAATATTTTCACTATTCAAATCATGCAAAATTGTATTAGAATGTGTTCAGTACTTTAAAATAACATTTCCAGGCTAGTTCAAAATGTGGTTTAAACTGGCTGAACATAACAACATTCCTATACCTGCTGGATTTGCCCTCCCTGAATCCAATGATCTTGATCTTGATCTCTTCTCCCTCCTGTAGGTCACTTAAGGGCATCTCCCCCTGCCAGAAGGAAATTCACAGAGATAAGATTGTTACCTTGTTTAAATCAATATATCAATATATTCATTTATTTTTGTGCCAAACATATTGATTTTTGGCAAATACAAAATATCTACAAGTAAGGTAGTGTTTACACAAATGTCTGTAATACATGTACTGTCATCCTCTGTCGCATCTGTAATACATGTAGTTACATCCTCTGTAGCATCTGTAATACATGTACTGTCATCCTCTGTAGCATCTATAATACATGTACTGTCATCCTCTGTAGCGTCTATAATACATGTACTGTCATCCTCTGTAGTGTCTATAATACATGTAGTTACATCCTCTGTAGCATCTGTAATACATGTACTGTCATCCTCTGTAGCGTCTATCACTGGTGGACCCTTACCGTGTATTTTTTTCATTTTTTCATTTAATTTTCAAAAATCGTTTAGTTGTTCTCTTTTTGTGTGTATTTTTTGGATTATAGTTTATATTTGACGAGTCACCGTTTATTGTTTAAACCGACGTTTATTCTTCGCAGACTTGTGTTTAGTTTTGAGTATAACAGTTTGTTTTTAAAACAGAGTGTTTGTTTTATAAATGCATGTTAACTTTTCACGGAACAGAGTTTGTTTTATAACTACATGTTTACTTTTCTTGGCCCAGTGTTTGTTT